GCGTGTGGCAGGTGTGTCTACCAGTATATATAAGCGCACTCGTTAACTGAAGATGAGATTTGCAGTGAGAGCTATTTCTCTGTCAAGCAGTTTGGCTACCGTGTTTCAGATTGAACTGAGGTCTGTATTTGATCCTTGCTGTTGTCTTCTGAAGTACACACTTGCACACTAGTGGTTGGTTTTTTGTTTTTTTGGTTTTTTTTTTTTTGGGGGGGGGAGAGTTTTGTTTTGTTTTTTTAATGACAGAATTCTACTTTGCTCTTGAAAGCTGCAGCACCTGTCTCATAAGAAAATTTGTAGTGGTAAAAGCTTTGCTTTGGTTTTATTTTTTGTTCGTTTTGTTTTTGTTCTGCTGGGACTCTAAATGAACGGGGCATATGCAGAGAAAGAAAACACTGCCCAGGTGTTGCATCTCAAAAGTTGGAGCCCTGGCCCTGCTGAAGGTGCCAGGATGTCACCTACTATTTCTAGTCTTAACTGATGCTGTAGCACACCTACCTTGTGCAAAGATCTCCATTTCTTACTGTGACTGTGTTAACAGTGAGCTGCCAATACAGTTTGGTATCCCAGACCAGTGGAGAACCAGTTCAGGTCACATCCTCACAGCCATCTGGGTTGTTCAGCAACCGAAGGGTATAAATGTATTTATATGCATATAATGTATTGATTCTAATATAAAACTTCTGATCTAAAGTATTTTGAATTGCTGGATAAAGGGATTTGTTTGAAGAGTGTATAAGTAGTTCTTGAAGAGGTACAGCTTCAGAATGTACACAGATTGTGCATTGTGTATAGACTACTCTGGCTTTTCCTCAGCCTCTACTTTTGTATTAAAGATATGCCTGAATAAATCCTTGAAATATTAAGGGCCTTCTGCACTGTGATGAAGCAGAGTTATGGTTAAAAATGTCTTTAAATTCAGCGACGAGGAATAGAGCAAAAAGACTGCATTTAATTTCTTCTTGCATTTGAAAATATGGAATGTTACTATGCAGTAAAGGTATTTTGGTATGAAAATTATATCATGTAGCAAATAGCAAACAGTTAATAAATCCACTTACCTTGCAGCCCCCACAAGGAGACTTGCTTTTCAGCATTTACATGCTAAAAGTTTTTTGTACACTTCAGACATAGATTAAATTGTTGGTACGTTTCATCAACAGTACAAAATGTGATTTCTGTTCAATCTCTTGCCACAAAGCTCCATTTCCAATTGGTTGCTTGCATCACAGTGCCAAGACCGTAAGCTGGTATGTAATGCAGTTGGGTTATGTATGGAATTATGTGCAAAGGGAAGTTTTATTATTTTTTTTTAAATATGCACAAACTAATTTTAAAATCCTTCCATGTAAAATGAAGTTAGAGGCTAGTTGTGGTGGACCTATTTATTGTATGTTTGGAAATAAAAGCCACAGTTTTGCAGTTTAACCATTTATATTTCGAAGTCTTCAGTATTTCTTTCATAAACAAATGACCTTTGCCACTCTTCAGTCATCTCTCTCCTTTCAAAGATGTGATGTTTTTCCATAGGTCCCTACTGGAGATTACACTGATGGCTTCAAGTTTAAAGTTCTCTGCTCTCTTCCTGTTGTCAACCACTAAAATGAAGTTCACTGCAGAAGAGTGGGAATCCCTCATCTTAATGGTAGAGCTACTGACTGCAGCTTGTATGTGAGGCACTCCTCCTGCCTGTTGCCACAGAGGCTGCTGAGCACAGCCTGATCAATGTGAGTCTGGAGGTGACTCCCCAGAAACGTGCTTTTGGCTGTGAGGGCATTGCAGCAGCACAGAGCCGCTCACGTGATGGGTCCTGGAACTCACTAATAGGAAAGCTGCCTTCGTGAAGATACAGTAGTGCAGCATATTAAGAAAATGAGGGAATCAGATCATGCTGAGACTTCAAATGTAGTGAGAGGTTTCTCTATTTGCTTACCTCAGTTTTAGCCACTCTGAAGGCTCTAGCTTCAACATGATGCACAGTGCTGGTATAGCATGGCTGGCAGGGGAGGTGTAGGCAGCACTTGGAACGCTCTGGTTGGATCAATGTTCTGTGTACTGGGAGATGGAGCAAGAGTAATTTCCAGCTCACACAACAGGGAAGTACACACAAGAAGGTAACCTATGCATGAGTTCTGCGAGGAAAATGAATTATAATTAGTTCCCAAACCAATTTTGAGTTATTAAAAACCAGTATTAGGAGAGTTAAGCTATTAAGATGCATCAGTGAGGTACGTATTATTAAATCAAGCATTCGTGGAAGTGGGCAGTTGTTTGGCTTTCAGGTATTTATCTAATATCCTAGTATTCATCATTATCTTGCCTTTAGTGAAAAAAGAAAAAGAAAAATCTGTAACCTTCATTCCATACATTTTTCCCTCATTAGAACCCAGATAGAACTGTTCTAGACTGGCTGTGCTTTGGCACTTAAGGTGAGCTGGATGGTTGTGGGGTTTTTTGCTTTTTTTTTTCCCCTTCACTCAATGAAGGTAAACTCAAATCTAAGTGGCTTTGTGGATTTAACATTTAATTTGAATGCAGCTTGTTTTTAGTTAGATTTTCTCTGCTGTTTTAACTGGACTAGGAATAAGTATTGGTGGGCTACTCCCAAGTTCACTCTTAAGGTCAGTCTATAAATGCTGTATCTTATAAGTGCTGTAATCTGTGTTCACCTCTGACTACAGCACTTTGGAGTGAGTTAGAGCAGGGCCTCTTGCCTGTAGACAGGAGCACCCCTCATGTGGAGACAAATCTATAGGGATCAACGCCAGCATCTAAAGCTTTTTTAAAATTCATATACCTAAGAAATAGAGGGTCTACAGTATACTGAGGAATACTTAGAGTGTATACTCACAGGTGTGCTCATACTGGGGTCTGGATTGCTGTTTATGTTATCAAATTATATGTATTTTAATTTGGACTTCTAAAAATAAGCTCTAGCAGTAGGAATGTGATGCTTCAAAGACAGAACCTCCCCAAACCGTGCCTCTCTGCTCTGTTCAACTCTAAGGATTGATTGTTGGAATAAGGGTCCCTAAGAGATTGCAGCTTTGAACAGAATATCATTGAAATGTTTTCAGTCTTTCACGATGGGATTGTTTGGGGGTTTTTTTTTGTTCTATTTTACTCAAAACTGTAGACAACGTTCCTCCTATAGAGGAACCATTTTTGTAACCACATCTCTGATTTGAACTTTGTAGAACTTTGTTCTATGGATATATTTTCCCTCTAGTTTCAAACAGGAGGAAAAATGCATTTCTGTCCAGCTCTGCAATGTAAAACTCTCACCTTGCTTTAGTTTTCATCTTTTCAAAACCATGAGCAAACGCCAAGCTCTGTGGTATTTACCTTTCACAAACGCAGAGTAGAGCGACAAGTTTATCAAAACTAGAGTATTTCACAGCTGGGAGCTCAAAAGTAAGATTGGAAGTGATGAAATTCGTAGCTTAAAACACGCTAAGTTTTGAAGCTTCTCCTCCCTGTATCATTTTCACAGAACGAACACCTGCTCCGACTTCATACAATTGTGTATTTCAGGAGTTGGTGAGTGGTGATTGTTAGCAGGCTTGGCTTCGTGCCCAGGAAGGCAACAAGGAAATGACAAAAGGAAATGAACAGAGAGTATTTGTGCAAAGCGCATCATAGGGTTTTCCGTCACCCCTTGTTTCCAAAGATAAGAATAGAAGGCAAGGCTGCTCTACAGCTGAAAATGATCTACTAACAAGTTTGGAGAGGCCTGTCTCCCTTTCTGTGTGAGTATCCCCCAAACAGCTCGTGTCCTAGTTCTGAGGCAGGCAGCTGGGACTCCACAGACTTGATGCTGAATTGAATTGCTTTACAATTTCCTATCTGTGAGTCCTTTTCTTTGAATAAATGAGCTCAGACTGAAGACAGGAGTCACAGATCTTCTCTCACCTACCATGTGCTGCAGCACTCAGGTAGCCCAGAGCATCTGTCCACAAAAAAAAAGAAAGAAGAGCTGAAACACAGAGACCATCATCTTTGGAAGGCCAGCAGTTTTTTCCATGCTGAATTGTATTACACAGGGCTGAAATTTCCCTTTCCCTGTCCCTTAGACAGGGCTGCAAGACTGCTTCTGTGACTGAGGTTTATGTATTCACTCTTCCCCTGGGGGAATGGTGCAAAAATTCTTTGATACATTGATCTAATGTCAGTGAAAGCAAAACCTGCAAAAAGATAACAGTAACACACTAAAAAATGCCCTCTCAAGGACCCTCTTTAGGGCTGTGCTTCCCTGAAATAATAAAAATGAGATTTTATTCTTATAATTGTTTTCAATACCAACCTCAAATTTCTATTCTTAACTTATTGGCAATTTGCTAGCATTTACTGAGTTTGTTACTACAGACTACTGACGGCACCTTTATGTTTCTGAAAGACTGACAGGGGAAATTCAAGCTGATTTTGAATCCAGTGCTAGGTGCAGAAGTTCACCCTGCTACTGAATGCAGTTGGAGTCCTCAGCCCAGCCCTGCAGAACTCCTGAGAGGGTGGGAAACTGCTGAGCTGCCTGCTTTCAAACAGCACTTTTCCAAAGGCTCTGTTAACTGTTTAAGAGGACCACCGTACAGTTTGTTTCATGCTAGTAGCATTGAGGTATCATATGCATTACTAAGATAGAGCAACTGCAATTGCCCTGCTGAACAGTTTGCTGCATGAAGAATCTGAGTCTGGCGGAGTTGTGTGGTATTCTTAATTCCAAGAGTAGAGAAGACACATCATTAATGAACCAACTTAGTTCAGGAATATCAGTTTGCTCCGTGTTGCAGTGCTTCAGTATTTTCTTTAGGATGAGCTTGCATGAGTTAACAACTTCTTTAAAAATAAAAGTTGTACAAAGTTCCCATATTGAGAGTGGCTAGAACAGCAAGCTTCAACAGGTTTAGGGCCGTGGTTTACAGCACTGTGTGGTACAAATCCTGCTGTTAAGCTGTGCCAAGCAGGCCTATGTGTGTAAGTCTGCTGAATGAATCCTGACACAATCAGCTTCAGAGATGCAATTTATTTCAGTTAGCAACCAACGCCAGGACAAAACATTTTCAATCCAATCGTTCCACTGACTACCTGTATTACCACAGCAGGCTCTCACAACACACAGAAGCTCTACCTTCCTCAACCCCAATGAAAGCCACAGGCTGCAGAAGGCTCACTTCATCGTGCTACGCAGTGGCAAAGCAGCAGATCTCAGCAGATTCAGATTGGACCAAACAGAAGAGATGGTGTCACTTCACAACACACTTGAGGTGTGTTCAGGTTTTGGCATGGAAACCAGGTTTTTCAGAGGCTTGAAAGGTCAGTAATTCCAAAGAACAGTCCAGAGGATTTTTGAAGTATGATTGCAGCTGGATTTACTGTAAGAAAGATGAATCAGCAGCAAAACTTCTCAGGACAAAATTACACCCTTGACTTCATAACTACATGAGATAAATTCCTTCTAATAATGTAGCTTTAGGTATCTCCTGTACAGTAACAGTAACTTTCCTAACGATCATCTGCAGTCACCAGTACAAAGCCAGTAAGAAAATGCATTCAGTTCAAAAAGAAGGAAAACAATTAACAAGTGCATTTGGTTCAACAAACATCGCTGTTGAAAAATTTCACGTTTAGGTTGAGTGTACTGAAAATGTGCTTCTTCCTTGGGATTGTTATATACTGCATGTTCCCATTTGATGATGTGGTTTTCAGAAAGAGGTTACAGGTGAAGAGCTGATCCTGTCGGGAATCTTGCGATACAGAAAGCTGAGTGAAAAATTAAAAGCAAGTTAATATTTTCTATGCTACATTAACTTAATCACGTAGCATATTTCAATCTGATTTTAAGACAGACTTCATAAAATCAGCATAAGGGAGAAAAAAAAAAACAAACACATTTTTAAAAAGGACACAACTAGGAAAGTAAATGGAAAAGATCTCACTGTATGAATTCACTTGCTTCCAAATTAGGGTGACCAACTTATGTTTTCTAATAAGCCTCAGTGAGACACCATGCAGCAATTCTTGTTCTTTCCCTTCAGAAGCCACTCCAGAATAATTTGTCTGTTTACCTTAACGCTGTATTATGAATCTTTCTACTTTTACTCTTCCTGAATTCACCTTGAGCCACTTCTTTTCATAAGTTCTCCCTCTGTATTTAACAAAATTCCAAGCATATGTCTCTGCAGAACTGAATTAGGAAGGAATACACTCAAAGGTCTCTTCTGATTTCCTTTCTGAATCCTACAACCTATCTCCTAAGTACAGAACATACATCATACAGCATCCAGTACAGTAAAATGGAATAAAACACTGCAATGAAAATGTGCCTCAAAGTGCATAATCCCACAGCAACAGTAATTGCTTAAGTTAATTCTCTGTTGAAGATGGGATTTTAGGTTCGAATGCTAATCCCAAACACTTTGGTGAAAACAGAATGCAACTGATTCATTTGATTTTTTTTAAAGCAATGCAGAATGACAGAATTGTCCTCCAGGTTGCATTACATGAAGGAAACTGATTTTATAAATGCCTGCTTGACTGAAGGCAAATGCACAGATAACAATTCCCACTTTTGTTTCTCTGTACGTTCTGTAACAAAACAAAAATATCCCTGCAATTGTTAATATCAGTTCTACGTTCCTCTTTAGATAGTTCCTGTTTTCTCCTATAGTGGAGAAACCAAATCTGACTCTTTCTGAATATGTGAAACGCAAGCTGAAATGCAATTTCTTTATAATGAACCTTGTTCCTTGTGTCTCCCTTACAATGCACCTTAGGAGCAAGCCACAAGCATCTCTCTGTTCATCACATCTATCCTTTAACACAATTATTTTCTTCTGTCATTTTCTGACATACACCCTGACAGTATCTTAGGTATTGTTGCTCCCTCCCACCCAGTAAATAGTTTGACCAGCAGACCAAGTTGCTTAGCAAATAACCTTGCGTCTCAGCATCCTCCACATTGTATTGTTTTGCATTTGGAATGTCGTGTTTTACCTTTTCTGAAGCAGTCAAATGGGTTTTGGTGGGTGAAATACAACAGTACATACATACAGTCCTATCAGGACCAAGCTGTTAAGCCAGCACATATGCTCTAACAGCTGACTGCAGCACAGATGAACACGTAAAATATGCTGTATGTTTCCCTCCAGTACTTATGTTTAGAGCAGTTCTTACCTTGGTCTGGATCAGTGCTTTGCAGTTATTAATACTGAATCCGTCAAATCTGAAGTCTTCATTATCTTTAGCATTTGATTCCTCAGTAATGTCATTCTGGCTCTCCAGAAAGTCCTAAGAAAGCAAATTTACATTTTCTTTACTAATGACTATCTGATCTTAATCTGAAGAGAAGTTTCCTCTCAAACAACAACATCAAATTCTACTTTCCGAAGCTGTATCTGTCATGTTTCCCTGGCACTGAAACAATTCATTGGCAAAAAAGATACCCATACATGCGAACCAAATCACGACTTGAAATTTAAAAATTGCAATTTCAAAATTAAACTATTTCTGAATAAAATCAGCCCTGGCTTAAACTGGAAAATATCTGAGAAGTCAGTATTGTTAAAAGCAACGCAATGCAAACGTCTCTGTGGGTGAGAAAAGGACAGAAGGGGAAGTTAGATGTTGGAGAAATGTCTCCCATTTCCTCCTGCTAGATGACAGCTCCTGCAATTCGGAATTGCACACAGCACTGCATCATGGAATGAAATCATCAACTGGAATAGTTACTCTGAGAAGCACAAACAACTGATTCATGCCATCTAAATAACCAGGTTGAACACTGAACCATCCCCCATGCCTTTATCTTCCCAAAACAAGAGATTAATCAGAGACATTTGAGATTTTCAATATTGATAGTTTGTTCTCGTTTCAATTTAAAACATATTCCTCTCAAGTCTTGCACAAACAGATGGAATCTTCTGAGGAAGAGGGAAGTGAAACACACTTCCAGTTCATATGCAATAAAAGCACCCAGCGATTACTTTAGCAGCCTCACTGATTCAAATCCAATTTTCACTTAACAGAAAGATATTAGAGACCGACATCTTTTTCATGCTCTGAGGAAAAAAAGAAAGCCATCCAGTACACACACATCTGAAAGCTATTTCTACATTCATGCCTGAAGCTGAACATACTATCTAATGCAACAGGGTGCCACAGAGCTGAGACCTCAGCGTAAAGGTGATCAAAATTTGATCCCCACACAATTTCATTCTTACTGACACACAGTGATGAGAAAACGTGAGACCATCATTTGAAAAGGCTCTCTTTAAGAAACTTATGACTCATCCAGATCTCGTTCCTCGTGTGTTTGCATGTATAGCTTACATAAAATCCAACCTGCAACCGAAAGTTTATACTGGCATACTGGCAGACCTTTGTTCAATTACCATTCGATTTGTATCTATTCCAAGGACACTCAGGAGGTTTTCTTGGCAATGAGATTTACTCCAGGGATGTCTTAATCTGGAGGTATTATCTAAGTCTCTAAGAGTTCTCCATATGTTTCCAGAATCGATGCTAGGAAAGAAAACACAAGTTGAGGTTAGATGGCATACAAAGTTTCCAGAAGACATATGTAATTCTTTCTGTACATACAGTTGTGTACTAGCCTACCTTTATCTTAAAGCTATTTCCACATTCGTTCAAAGTATCAACCCAACACACTAATAAATTTCCATGATAATCAATGGAAACAGCCAACATAACTGTATGTTGAGGCTTCTCAGAGAAGTGCATTAGAAGCACGTCAGAGTTTGTTACATGCCCACAGTTCATACTAATCAATTGCTTCTGTAAGGTGGGTACAGAGTTCAGCCCTATTAATTTTCTACTTTTCATGATCCGTCCCTCAGACCTCTCTCTTCCATGTCAATCATACTTCACTGCTGCAACTTGCTGCTATTTAACTTGCTGGTACCTGATCTGGACACATACATACTACGAAACAGAGACCATTCCAGCTGTCCTGAGAGTAAGTTCAGTGATACTAACTGCATTAACACAACCCCAGGAAAGAAGTTGGATGCGCCACAGCTTCTGAAGAAAATCTGCTTTAATGTGAAAAGTGGTCACCACCTGGGAAAAGCGGGGAGGGAAAACAGGCGTGGGTTGTCAGCAGAAGGAGCAGCAGAGCTTCTGCTTCAGATGATGGAGAATTGAGTCAGATGTGTTGTAAAGAAAGGACAAGCAAACAGGAAGAACAGGCTGCCTGCTGGCTGCTCTGGCATTCCAGAAGCTGAGTCATAAGAAGGAGCACCGACAACAGGAAAAACTGAGCAGAAATTTGTACTTCTGATATATTCTCTAGCTTGCTTTCCCATGGCTAAAACATAATCCATTTCCTTGACCAACACAATACGGAATTGGTAAGATCTACACACTGAAGGAGCACAGTGATTAAAATGGTTCTTAAGTTTGTTACCAATACCACAAATATTTAAATTATAAACAACATAATTGTTTGATTACTGAGGAACTTTTTTTATTATTATTATTATGACTAAACTCATTACCAAAGTTGATTATTTGTAAGTTCAGGAATCCCAACATCTTCATTATTCACATCAACTACTTGATCCAGGCTTCTTATGCTCTCGCTGGACTGCGATACAAGGACTTCTGGAAAGCCAGACTTAAATATACCCTCATAGCAGTGGTCTGCCTAGAAAAAAAGAGAGTTTCATTTCACATGCTACAGATTGGCAACTTCACAGCTCATGACAGAACAATGTTTCCACCGATTGTATTATTAACTGCATTTAAAATCTGAATTAATATTAATAACACAGGGGGACTGAGCCCATAGTTCAATGCTTTGAGTATTTACTTATGATTAGAGGAGAAAAAGGAAAAATCCGAGAGTTTCTGATGAACCTTCCTCTGTAATGTCACAACTGCTACATGCTACATTACAGACTGCTTTGCCTACTAGTAGTCAAGTCTCCTCCTCAAGAAATTCAGTCCAGGCCAAAAACAACACATGCTCACACATCAACTCAAAGCTTATTTTGCTTTGCATTAACAATATTTTTACCACATCTGATGCAACCAAGTGTAACATAACTTGTAGTTACCTATAAATACTTGCACTGCACAAGTCCACATAAAAGCTGAGGTCACTGTGTATCTGGATGCTTGCATTTGCACCAAACATTTTTCAGCTTACATTAAGAAGTTTGGTCTGATTTATAAACTCATTCCTCTTCCAGCAGTGATAAGGAGGTTTGCAGGACAGACACGGCCGTGAGTAATCTAACCTCATGTAAACAGGACAAGTGGAAGTAACAGGGTTATCCAAGGAGCAGGAAGGGAAAACGTGCGTAACTGACATCCTATCCTAAGGGGATGTTGTTGTGCCATCTCATCCAGAAGCTTTATTTCTTCAAATAAGGAGTTAGTCAAGTTTTCTAAATCAAGGTACTTAATTGCAGTACTTAATCTGCAGCGTGACTGCAGTCCAGGAGCAGAGATGCTGTGTGAAAACCGGAGAGTGAACCCAGCCAGCTTGTTTTTCCTGCCTGGCAATCAACAACCTGATCTGAAAAACGTAAGTGTGGATACTTTGACAGGTTAGTTTAATCGCAATTCAAATGACTGAAATAAATTGAGATATTTGCAGTTTCATTATACTGAACTCAGACAAATGCAGTGAATAGTGGAAGTCCTGAGGGCGTGCGCAGCCAGCAGAGCTGGCAGAGGATTCTGTGTTTCTGAGCATGCTCCCAGAAGTGCAGCGTAGCCCACACTGCCATCCCTGAAATTCAGCCCTTACTGAACTGCCTTTCTTCATGGGTGACTGCAGAGACTCTCAAAAACTCCTGGATAAAACCATCCAAAACTCTCCCAAAATATCACAAAACTTTAAACTGATTTGTAAATTGCTTTAGTTAACTTATACTATGTGGAGGAGAAAAGCGTTTGAAAAGCAGAATTCCATGACAGAACAATTGCAGAAGAACTAACAAAGGAAAGCAGAGATCTGCCTTGTTTGTCATTTCTTCCTGCAGCCTGTGATGTTGCACACAAGCCACTGGAGTACAGCTTATCAAGCCAGATGAAGAGCTCAATGTACAGGAAAACCACAAGATCTTTTCTGGCATTAATTTTGTTTTTATTACTGTCTATTTCAGCGTGTTTTAACACAAAATGCAGGTAATTTTCGTTTAACTTGCAGCTTTGTACTGATGATAAAAATACAAATGCGAAAATTTCAAATCTGCTCTCTGAAAAAATCCTCTATATTATCTCAGAGCACTTTCTTAAGCAAGAACAATCATTCCTCTTACAATGGCCTGAATTTAAAGAACACAAGAAAAATTCTCTGAGTCCTGGGGTTCAGCCTTTTCTCCCATATAACTAGCAATAGAATGAGAGGGAATGGCCTCAAGTTGCACCAAGGGTTGGACATCAGGAAATATTTCTTCTCTGAAAGAGTGGCCAGGCATTGGAATGGGCTGCCCAGGGAGGTAGTGAAGTCGCCAAGTTGCCAAGTGAAAGAAACATTTAGATGCTGTAGGGAGGGTCATGGTTTAGTGGGGAATATTGGTGGTAGGTGGATGGTTGGACTGGATGATCTCAGAGATTTTTTCCGACCTTGGTGGTCCTATGACTGTAGGCAGAGCATCCTGCTGCTGCAAGGAAACGGTGATTGTTTTCATTTTTAAGTGGGGGACTCTGCTCCTGACTGTTATAATTTAATTAACTGATGCAATAGATAATGGAGGTCAGACCTCTGACCTCAGATGATCTCTAGATCCCTTCCAACCTTCTTCTATTGACCATACAGAAGGGCTGCATCCCAACCTGAGGAGTTTATGATCTCAAACAAACAATATAAAAAGCACAGGAATGAACGACAAACTACATGTGTGTTCTACTCCCAGAGAAATCTCCAGCAGCAATGCAGCTGCTTCTCTATCCTAAGAAAAGGACACCTTAAGTATGTTAGCTCTGCCTAAAGTTTCAGCTCATGTTGGATATTTCCTTCTGACTTTAATAAACACAAAAAAAAAATAATAAAGCAAAGGCTACAATTAGATTAATGTGTACAACTTCTAAGAAAGAAGCCATACAATCTGTTATATTTCTGCCCTGGTCATCACATACTCTGCTTTTTCAGCATAAGACTGCATGTCTGAAATTCCAACCCTAGAATTTAACTTTGGTTTATGCATACCAGCAACTCATCGCTGGTTATGTTGTGATCTCTGTTCTACCAATGTTAGACAGCTCACCCCATGCTCAGCACTGAGCTTTCCTGAGCAAAGCCTCTGCAAAAGGCAAAGCTCCAAACAGACAGGGAAGCCTGGCTCCACAAAACTCTGTTCCCTCCATATAAAAGCTGATCTTACAACTATTAGCTGTGAGCTATGAAGTGCTATTAGCTCAGTGAAAGCCTGAGTTGACTGATGTCCTTTTTCTCATGATTTAATTCATAAAAGTAGTAATAATGAAGTCTTGCTATTTTGTTAGTATTTCATTTCATTTTTCTTTTGTTAGTGTGCTTACCTGTGCCTGGTAAACATGAAAACACACCAATTTCAGCAAGGTAGAACCCTTATGCTGAACAAACAGCTTATTAAGCATTCAGATTTTAGTTCCAACATTGTATCCCATGATAGGAGGGGAATGGTATTAAATTACTTGCTATTCATTTGCTTGTATCATATTAACTTCTACAGATCAGTCCAAAATGCCAGAAAGACTGCTGGGTTATTCAGGCAGCATACTCCACAGCAGAAGCTAATGTTTTTGTCAGTCTCTAACTCAATTTTATGTTGGTTTATTTCAAGAAGCTTGCAGGCAACTTGCCCACTCTATTTTTGTTACCTGCCTTCCCAGCTCTTTGCTTCCTACGCTCATTTCGCCTGGCTTTTAACTCTCACGTGCTTCAGGGCCCATTGTTTCTGAAGGGCTATAATCCATTCCTGGTGCCCAGAAGAAAAGCAGTGCGTTATGTTCTTCAAAGCTCTCCAGCAGGACAACTGAAGTATTTGTCAAACATTGGAAAGAAGTTGCATTTTGTTCCACTCAAGTTAACTAAAACTGACAGTTTCTCTCCCTGGACAGAGTTATTCTCTACAGAGAAGACATTCAGATACAAATCTTAAGATGCAGGAAGCAGTAACACAAACACTTCTGGTCTTTGGCTTACTGTGAACACTTACCTCATTCAGAGAGCTGGAAGCCTCACTGAGTAGAGATGGCTCGGAACAGAAGTGACCGGCAGCAGCACTGCAGTGTCCTCTGCTCACGCCTGTACCACCATCAGAAGTGTTTTTTGACTTCAGCAAAATATCAGCTCTGGGATGCCATTTGCCCAAGGGTTCCTTGAAGCCCTCAAACTCCCCCCAGGAACCGCTGGGCGCTGAGGTACAGCAGCTCTCACCAGACCCCTCACAGCTCCGCCTGTCGCTCTTCAGTACCGGGAGGCTCTGCTGCGATACCTCGAGGTGAGTAATTCCTTCATTATCAGTCCCTGCGTTTGAGTTCCAGCCATTCTCACCGCCAGACATTCCGCCCACCTCCAGCTCTGTCACACGCACCCGGCGCGACGCGTCTGTGCTACTGCGACTTCCCGACTGCAACAGGTTCTGCATCGTGCTTGGAAAACCACCCCCGCTCAGGCATCATTTGGTGAAATCTGTGCTGAGAAACAAAACAAAACAAAACCAGCAGTTAAGTTCGATTGCATTGGAACTCTGAACGTTTCTAAAACACGACCAAATTCTTCATGTTACCTCTTAAGTGTCCCCTAAATCACAGCAGGACATCCTTCAGCCTCTCCTGCAGCATTGGCAGGCGTGTGTTGTTCAGTCTCAGTCCTGTGCAAGCTGTTGGCCTGCAAGGAAAAAAAATAGCAAATAAATACTTCTGTGATTAGGGCTGCGTAGGAATGACCACCGCAAGCCGATAAGGCAGCAGAAAGAATGCTCAGGTTAAAAAAAAGCACATTCCAGCCCTGCACAGCAGTTTGGAGTAAATTTTTGATAGCACAAAAAAAGCATTATGGTAGCAGCAATATTTCAGGAAGTGTTAAACAGAATTTGCTGGATGTTCAGGGAGTGCTGGAGTGGGTGCAGGAGTCACAAAGAACACCTCCTAGGCACTACCCAGCCCTGTAGTTCTGCCACCCAGCTGGTGCTGGCTGCAAACAGAGCTCTTTTTGTCTGCGTGGGCTTTCCAGGTCCCAAAGATTACCCAAGAGGCAAATGTGACCTGCGGCACCACAGGCACCAGCAGCTCAGTTCTGTGAAAAGCAACAGCACTCCAACTATTTAAGCAATTAAGGCTGATTTAAGAAGATTGATTTAACATCTGTGAGTTACGCACACAATGCTGCATTTATTGCTGTGGGTAGATCGCATCTCCTCCAGCACCCTTCCATTGCTAAGCTGCAGTGAAGAGATGCAGTCACTATTAGATGTTAGATGGTCCTCAGATGGAAAAATAACAGAGGTTTTTCCCAAGTTTACCCCAACACAAGGCACAAATGACCAGCCCCAGATGCAAATGGACCAGGCTATGGGGCAATGTAACACTGGAGATCCAGGGTTACGTGAGGGGCTGAGCTGGCTGGCAGGGACCTGCCCAACTTCCTCCTTCCTGTCCAAACTATCCTCCATGTCCACTCTGAGCTCTCCTCCTTCCTCAGCTCCCTGCAGCCATCCCAAGCACAGTTGCCTTGAGAAATCCCCATTACTCCTTATTGTAATATAAGGAAGAAATGTTTCACCCAGAGAGCTCTGAGGCCCTGGCACAGGCTGCCCAGTGAGCTGCAGGTACCCTGGATGTGCCCAGGACTGGGTTGGATGGGGCCATGGGCAGCCTGAGCTGGTGGAGCTCATGGCAGGGCTTGGAACCGGGCAATTTCTAAGGTCCCATCCAGCCCAAAAATGGCTCCTTCTCATTTCTCTGGATTAACAAGTTCTTCACTCACAGTGTTCCTGGTCCTTTGCTATTGCCATCGCCTCCCCCTTCATCACCCTGGGTTGGGACCACCAGCTGTCCTGCAGCCAGGAGTCAGCTCTCACCTCCTAGAAAGGGCCATGAGGTAGATTGGCATGAAGAAGAAAAGTTTATGTTTCTAGTTTCTTCCTCCAAGCTGGCCAGCTAAGAACATACAGATTGATGGTGGTGATTTGTGTTTGTTTTCAAGCTAAAATGCCCACATAATCACAAAATTCCAAGATTTTAACTTAGGGAGAAACACAAACAAAGCAAAACCTTCACCCTCACAAAGGAATATGAACCCATGATAAAATGATAGGAATAACCCAAGTGCAGACTGTCGGGATCTTTTCTCCCCTCACCTCCCTCCCCATTTTGCCCTGTCAGGCACTTGTGTAGTTGGGACTCCACCTGCCCATTGTGTCAGATAAAGCTGGAAGCTGTGGGTCAAGTGGCTGTGGCCATCCTACCCCACAGCCTGAGGGGACCATCCCTTCTTGCCCATATCTTGAAGAGCATTGGCAGGGGGATGGAGGTTTTTCCAGGGGGGAGAACACAGAGAAAATCCCTCAGGGTGTTGGCACTCTCTGTCCACTCGGCTGGGTTTAAAATCTGGGCAATCCCAAGCAACAGGGGATTTGTAAAAGCAAGGAAAAAGGTTTTCTGGAGCAAGGCCCAAAATAAAAAGCATTTTCTAGGCATTACAGTGCGTGTGTTTTTCAGCACAGGCACAGATATGCACGCTCCCCTCCTACACATCTGACTCTCATTTCAGGCTGTAGCGCTTTATCTGAGAGTGAGAGGCTGAGTTTGGGAGCGATGCCCAGACTCAAAGCCAAAAGAACTTTACTGGCAGGTCTCAAAGACTTTTTTTTCTTTATTTTCTTTCTGCTTTGGAGCCATTTCTTACCCTCCGTGGCCATCCTGTGGCAGCCTGAGGAAATCTGACTGGCTCAGCAAGTGATTCAGACTCAAAGCATCTGATACTTGTTAGGATAGCATCGTTATCCTACTGCAGTAAGTTTGTGCTTTACAGGCCTCAGTGGTTCCAGATCTCTTAAGTTTTTAGGGGAGCTCAGCTCTTCTTTTTTTTTCTTTCCCCCAGCTGCTGAGATTGTTTAGCACAGCTTTATATATCCACTTTTGTCTTCTCACGGCAAAAGGCAGCAGGCAGACTGTGTGAAGACAGTGATGCTCCCTTTGTACCACACTTTGCACCTGGAGGGGAAGGGACTCATGGGTTTTGCAAACCTGCCTCTGCCTTGCCAAGCTCAAGCTGCCTGTAGTTACATGAACAGCCCAGTGGAAGAGCAGTTGAGCATCAGAAGCTGCCCCAAGTCCCAGAAACCTGCAGTGCTTTGGGATATAGCCAGCTGCACCATCTGCTGGACAACCTAACCCAGCCTCTGCTCACCAGCAAAGGCAGCCGAAACACATGAACTCACCCCCCCCCACCCCCTCTCCAAAAAAAAAAAATCTCAGGTTTGTTTTGGGCAGAGATTAAAATCTGAAGCATGGCCGCCTACAAAGTCGATTCTATTCAATCCATCTGAATTAGTATCAGCCCAACTGAGCTGAACTGGTGTTAAAATTCACGTTGTGTTTGGTGGTTAAGGCTCGTGATTTTGTCTGACATACTACAGTCCTTGGGATTTACCCCATACCTCCTCCAAAAATCAAACAAACCAACAGTCTTTATATAAACTGCCAGTATGCTAAATGCTTCAAACATGGACTGTAAGCTTATATTTACACTTTTCAACATATACAGCAAGTAAATCAGAACCTCACTATTCAAAACTTCACCACTACGAATGGCTGAGTTAACTGAATACTCAGCTGCAGCTTCTGCTGCCACAATTCCTACTGGAAATTTGAGTTTAGAATAATTCTACAGTATATGTACTTTTTCTTTCCCTCATTTTGCTCTTTAGAAAAAAAAAAAAAAAATTGCAGAAACAAAGAACCTCAATAGAATCTCTGAAAAATAGCTATTTCACAGAGATGAGTTCTAAGCACTGTTTTAATCAATCAGCTGTAGCTTCATTTGGAAGTACAGTTCATAACTCCACTGAACTCCTTCCTAGAGAAACAGTGACATTACCATACCTTCCAGCTTTGCACCACTTCAAAACATAAGTAAAATGCTTTGGCTTTTTCCTGATTGAGTAACAAGAACAGCAACACTTCAGGGCAAATTTTACTTCTCCCCAGTGCCAGATGGGCCTGGGTTTCCTGCAACCCCTGCAAAATATTGCTTTGTGGGATGGAACGAGCTGGCATTAATGAGGCACCTACAGCAACTCCAGTATCTGTGCTAAAAGATCAACCAGAATGTTTTCAACAGCAGGTGGCAGCTCTCCCTTATTGTCTCTTGCATGCATGTAGCAATACACTGATACTCCTTCCGAGTAAGGGAAGTAATTCATTCCCTCTACACACTGTGTTGGAGGTATTGGACCACCTGCTTTATGTGCTGACAGCAGAAAAGTCACTTAGTGTAGAAAGGTACTCTGGGCATAAAAGATGAACAGTAATACACCTCCCAAAGACACTAGACATGCAAGAGATGTATGTGCCCTGGCTTTAATGGCTGTGTTTAGCAGTTTTGTCCAGCCTGGCAGTGTCATTTTGAATCAAACCTTGTAGATGCTCCTGTGGCTTTTTAGAGTGATTTTGAAGAGCTCAAACTAAATGTCTTCTTGGGAAAGGCAGTAAAATGCAATTATATTCTGGAAGCTCATGGATACACCATCTTCCAAACCTAGATGTGGGCTGCACTACTTTATGAACCTCCAGGATGTTACCTACCTAACACACGTGTCAAAAGAAGACTCAAACCATTCGGAGTTCCTGCAATATCCTGCGGTGGTTATTGTGCCATATACGAAGCCTTCAACCCTCTTCTACCACTCCATCACCCACTAACACTTCTAGATGGAAATCCTTTCCTGTCTTAAGCTGCTTTCCCTTCTGTTGTCAATCCCACCTGCTGAACCCCTCTTTTCTTTTTATCAGATCTCATTTTTTTCCACTATCCATCTCTCAGCCCTTCTTCCTTGAGCCTCCTTAGAGAGTTGCATCTTGGGGCACTAAGGAAGTGGTAGTGCTTGTTAATCTGTGTGCCAGTCTCTTGTGTAGCAGAAATCTAATGGCAGAAACAGGAGGCTGCTGTATAATGGTAACTGTGTGGCAGTTGCTGTTATGAGACCACTGGCAAGCAATAGTCCATAGATTTCAGGAGAATAAAAGTGACCTTCTTGAAGTCCCACTGCACTACAACCATCATAAAACCTTACAAAATGCTATGAATGGCCCACCCACTATGGATGGCTTTGCCTCATAACCACACAACTAACACTGTCATCACAGGATCATCTAGGTCAGAAAAGACCCTTAAGATTACCAAATTCAACCACCACAAATCCACCACTAAACTTTGTCCGTAAGTGTCACATCCACACATCTCTTACATACTTCCAGGGATGGCAAATCCTTCACTTCCCTGGACAGCTTTTCCCACCACTCTTCCCATGAAGGAATTCTTCCTGCTGTCAATTCTAAACCTTCCCTAGAGCAATTTGAGGCCATTTTCTCACATCTTATCACCTGTGATCTGAGAAAACAGACCCACTGCAACCTTCTTTCAGGCAGTTGTAGTACCCATGCTTAACATTCACTGCTCCTTGCTCTACTATAATTTCATGTTAAGCTCCTGCTCTGTGTCTCTTTTCTGCTGATGATCTAAAATCATCATTGAGCAGCTCCATAAATCCAACAGGCTTTACTGCTCACATAGTTTTGTTAGATATCTAGATACTCATTTGTTGAAAGCATGCCTTGTAACTTCTACCAGTGCCCTGCATGCACTGCAAATTGAGCCCTGCAGTTTGCAGCTCACTAATCCTCTGTTTTAATGCCTGATTAGGTCCCAAATCCATTATTGTTAGTGAGATGTCAGTGCAGGGCAGGCAGGAGGACTTCATCCTCTTGGCTAAGAGTTAAGCTGCTAAAGGTACCTGACTTGTGCCTTACCCGTGTATTAATTAGCTTGCCAGGAAATTTAATTAGTGCTGTTCAGCGAAGATGCTGAAAGGTCAGGTATTCCATTAGCACTGCTGTGCTTCAGCGTTAACAAACCTCTAGAAAAATAAAATAAAATCAAACATACCATTAGCACAAGAACAGTTTAAAAAACTTGAATGCTTAATGCAAGTAACATTTGAAAGAATACTGAATTCTATTATTAGCATCTCTGAAGAAGATGCAAGAGATTACAAGGACCTCGGCTCTACATTCCCCAAGTGAGCTTCAGGTGAACCACGAGGTATAGGAGTATTGCTCTTGTGCTACCAGTGCTATCACAGCCAAAGCTGCAAGAGGGCAGCACAGGTTTTGTTTAATGGATTATTTGCCTCACTGCTGAGGGCTCAATTCTGAGAGCTAAACAATTCAGCCAGAAAATTAGGGAACCTCTGCTGCCACAGCTGGGTCTGGCCTGGGTCTTGAAGTCTGGATCTAGGTTCAAACTCTCCCCACATGCCCAACTACTTAAGGTTGTGATAATCTCTATTATGGTTAAAAGGAAGAAAAGAAAAGAAAACAAGACTGAAAAGGCTTAGCATGCATTAGCAGCAGTCCTGGGCTTCTTATACTACTGTGAATGAGGTAAGCAGTGCTTCACAGAGCTCCATCATAAGGTTGCAATTAGCAATGAGAATTATGCCACAGACATTTTACGTTAAAGAAAACAGTTGTAGCAAAAGTCCAATGTTAAATTCCACAAACATCAAAGCCTGCAGTTCGTATAAATCAATAATACAGCAAAGTGTAAGCTTTGAATGCATAGGCACACCAATAACTTGTTTCTGAAAAAACTCTTGCTTGAGAAGGATGGCCACACTTGATATTAATTTTCCATTTTGGGATATTTTATAAAAGAGCATTGATTTATTACTAGCTTGCAGACAGATATGTTTATTTTGATATCTACAGGTCAGGGAAATACATGAGTTATATGGATATGAACATGCCAGGGAAAGTCATTTTGCTGACTAAAACTGTACTTAAAAACAAATATACTGAGCTACTAACTTTTATAAAATACTTAACCATGTACAAGACCTCTAAATATTCACCATCTGCTTTCTACTCACCAGCTATTCATGTTGCATATCCTGTTTATGAGCAGGAACTTGCCGAATAAGGTGACTTAAAAGCTTCTGAAGCCTCACAGTTTTGAACTTATAGCTAACACCAGGATGTGATTCTCCCTACAGGTGAGATTGGGCCATCAGCTACCACCTGAGAAAAGCCTGAGATCTCTCTTTTGAAATAATGGAACCAAGGTTTCAATCAATTCATGGCAAGCAAAAATACACTGAATAAAGAAATGCTCGAAGTAATACAGAGGGGTAAATTCAGTATTTCAGATCTTGTCCTTTTTTAATTGTAATGCATTAATTTTGCATTTCTACACAAAGTCTTTCAATATAAAAATATAAAGCTAAATTTAATGCCCATTACTGCAGTCTCCACCGAATAAATAAGGGCCATGAAAGCGTTTGACAGCATGTTTACAAAGGATTGTAACAGTACAAAGTACCTTCCTGCAGAATGTTCCAAATACTGGATACTCAGAAGTCACTGACACCAGATGGCAAATGCGTGTGGTCAGCACATTGGGCTCGATGTACCAGGAGAGTAGGTGCTGCTAGGGACTCTTCCAAGCCCTGGTAGCATTCAGGCTGCCATTTTTTAGGCAGAAGCCTCATGAAGGACTGCAGTGTAATTTTCTCAGGTTGGTATAATGGGATGTTGTGCTACCCTGCTCTCCATAGTCCCCTAATGGGGCTAAAAATTCTTATTTCAAGATTATTTAAAAGGCTGTTAATGAAGTGGCAAGAGAAAAGCAGAAAAGCAGCACCTGTAACACGGGCAAAAGCATCTGAAGGGGTTCTACATGTTGAAAACAATCTTCAGACCCAGTGTTCCTACTAATAGGGAGACCAAGGTTTGGTGTGGTAGCTGGACAGCCTTGTTGATTCGTCTCCATGCTGGGAATCTGGATAATGCAGTAGAACATGAGCCACAGGCCTGGAGGGGAGCTGGACTTCATCTGCTTGGAACAGCATGTGGCTGCTGGTTGATCACCCCTTGTGCACAGGGCTGCATCTGCCCCAGTTTCTACCAAGCCATGTGCGAGGATGCTACAGACCTCAGGTATGTGCTGTATCCCTTGCACTGCTGCACTGTGGGTGGTACAGCTGAAGATCTTCCCGTTCTCACCAATGAGCAGGAGGAAAAAATATGATTGCCTGTTACTTGTTCTCCTACTGAATCTTAGCTACCCATGGGTTGGTGGTTCAGCCAAGGGATAAAATGCATGATTTACACCTCATCCCCCAGACAGCCTTGACAGCAGTCTGCAGATCACAGCACTCTAAGTAAGAATTGTCTGTCCCATCTCGGTTTTGTTGCTATTTTTACTCATTTCTTATGCTGCATGTCAACAAACAAACAAATAAATAAATGAAAATCTGCAATGCCTTAGCTAGTTTGGCTTCATTTACTGAAACAATTTCAATATTCAACCAGCCAGACCAAATTACCAATTTCAAATGTCTAATCTATAGCATGGATAGAGTCTTGAAACAATTAAATCTAGCAGAACTGACGTGCATACTGAAATGCAGATTGGCTGTACCATTTTACCCCTTTCCATTTCTGTGCTTCTGTACAGTATGGAGTCTGAATTTTAGAACCATACTTTCTAAAGACAGTTTTGCTGACTGCACCCCAAAGTTCCTGGCGCTCAAACAAGTCTCAGCAAGAAAACTGAGTGTCTCTTTTGGAGCATACATCTTGCATGAGGAAAATCTTGGGGATGTGATTTTCCGAAATTTTCTTCATGAAATGGCAGTTGGCTTCCTAGCAGCTGGAAGTCTCTAGAATCACTATGAATAAAACCACACAAGGTGTAACTGGTAGCTGCAATTGCAACTTCAGGCATTTCCAGCCATCAGTGGATCACACCGCAAAGCACCAAATTTCTTAAATCTCTCCCATGAGGAAGGAAACCTCCATTCTATAAGGAGTAAAATCCTATCAGCTGAGCCCTTCTTGCTCACCCCATACACATTTGCTGCTAAGTTAACAAGTGTGTTTTGCTTCTCAGGTGAAGCAGATAGAATTGTAGAATATGTTGGGTTGGAAGGGACGCATAAAGATTGTCAAGTTCAGCTCCTGGCTATGCACAGTCCAATTCCCATCTTCCCTTTTAGACCATTCACCACCTCTGTAGCCCTATAAGATAGAAAGAACACATGCAAGACTGTGATCAGACTTGTGGCAGCTTAATAGCTTCTGGTGTTGACCCACACCCTTTCCAATAAACATAAGTTACCACAGCTGGTTAGCTCATCCCAATTGCCTATGCCAGGTATATTTTGTGCTGACAGAGCTCTTCCCTAAGGCCTCAGCTGCTGGTACAGTGGAATAAACCTGTTTGCTTGTTTCTTTAACAATTATTCCTTAATTTGCTCAGTTTTTCTACCATTTTAGCACAATTTTCTAGTAGATAAATTAAGGAAGTAGATTTGTGAAGACCATACTAAAAGATTCTTCTATTTTCTTAAATACCAGTTTACCCTAATTTCATATATGAAATGATTGTATGGTGTGATAAAATTTGTGCTATGCTTTGGTTGTTCCAATTGATCCAACAGCTTTTTCCAATTAATAACAGTTTTTCCATAATATAAAAATGAGTTGAGCCATTTTACAGACTTGCAGCCTGAGCTTTTGAATGAATGCATCCAGAATTTTATATTTCTGAAGAGGATTCATAGCAATAAAAGAGGCATATGGAGCAACTTAAATAATCAGATTAAGTGATTCACTGAGTACACGTAAAGTCGTAAAATACTCATCTTGAGGAAAGCATATGTTTGATGAATGCTTAATGCTTATTCTCCCATTATTTGAGTAATTTTGAGAGGCATTTTTCATATATACATAGTGTTAAGTAAGAAATATTACAATATTTTGCCTTAGGGAGATTGTGTTCTTATTTTTTGACATGCAAGAGGCACGAAGGGAAATGTCCAAGCTGTTCTAGATGTCATAGCTACATAATACCACTTTGAAGTATGTTAATGCTCTTTTTGAGCTGTTCCACTGCTGTCCACAGAAACCCTCCCATTACAAGTAGCCTGCAAACAACAGAAACAGCTCAAAGAACCACTAATCTTCAGGGCCATATCATGCTGCTGTATTCACGTTGCAAAAGTGGAAGAGAAAAGACAAGAAGTTAAAACTAACAGATGTGGCTGAACTGTGAAAACTCATGCGTCTTGAATTCCATGGGTTCACTTTAATCAGCCCTATGATCTGTTTTGTTAAGCAGTTGTAAATCCTAGTGCATGCACTAGGAGGGATATTTAGCAAGGCCAACACAAGGAGGATTCTTTTCCCGAGGCTCTTTCTACAATCATAAGCTTTATTTAGGAGAAAACTATGGCTGTGAATTCACTGAAGTGATTTCATGAAAAGGTGCTGAAAGATCAGTGTCCCTTCCTCCAGTCCTTTTTATTCCTGCAGCCAGCTCTGGTACTCACCAGGCTTCCCATCAGCCCAATCAGCTCTAGCACTGCTGAAAACTGTGCTAGATGTTTTTTCTGTCAGGTTAACCTGCTGCCAGGCTGGTGGCTGAACTGCCACACGTTGAAGTGCAAGTTGGCGGGCAATGCTTTAAACCACTGAGCATGTTCAAAGAGCTCTGTGCTTTGCATGGCATCAACACTGTTCATTCAGTATTGTACGTACACAAATCTACCCGTACACACACAGAATTAGATGCATAAATGTAAATATGCATATTTAAATACTTACGTACTTACATCAACCTATAAAAACAATGCTGAGGAACAGTTTGTTTAAAAATGTTGCTCTGGCTGCAGTGACTTCTGTGTATATTTGTTTAAAAATGGGCTTATGCAGAATGAAGTGACAGGCTGATGTGTATCTTCCTGGGGCCAAATTGACAGTGGTGGTTGATTCAGCTCTGCTCGCTATTTTTGACAAAGCATCTCTCTGTGTCCTAGTTTAGCAAGTCCAGAGCTCATAATCATCTTCACGCAGCTGTGACTCAAGCAAACTCAGACTGTTTCCGTGCCTGAGAAAGGAAGAGGATGTGTGTCACTTCCTCATGTAGACAAATAAGGCTTCGTTTTCCCTTTTATTTTATTTTATTTTTTACAGTTATTTTTATGTGATAGCAAACGGTTTGGGACCAACAGTGCAATGCAAACTGCATAGCAAGATCATAAGTACCCACAATGAAAAGACTGAAAGGTGCACGTTCCTTTAATGGGTCTTCTTCTGGACTCAGGCTTCAAAGTACAGATTGAGAAAGCCATGAATGTAACTACTGATTGAATACCATCCTTCTCTTCCTGTATTCTTGAGAACATTAATGAATAGTCTGCCATTATACACTTGTCCAAAGAAACCAAGTCTAAGACCTGATCCAGCAGTGATGTGAACATGGTGCAGATCCCTGCAGCCTGTTAGCTGAAGTCTGTACAAGTGCCCGTTTGTAGGTCAGTGTCCAAGTTTTGCCCGTGGAAGAGATAAGTGTAGTTTAAGGATCATGCTCCACATAAGATGCAAAAAATTTTAATACCTTTGGAGAAGGACAAGTAAATAAGTGGTAAGCTCCAAGCCAGCTATCTTTTTGGGTCAGAAGTAATCTGTATAGATCCTCAGGAGCTGATGGATGCAAATATTGTGTGCAGGAAACAGATCCAGATCCGATGAGATTCTCTCTGCTATTTCAGATCCACTCTGCCAGAGAAGTCTGCCAGAAGTTCGTCTTGAATTGTTTCAATATCTGTGTCTTTATAATGGGGTCATTAATTACCCTCCAGGTTGTTTACAAGACAGTTTCAGTGATTTCGCAGCTGACATCTGTGCTCCAGAGATGTACTTGACCAAGGCCCTGATGGCCCAAGAGCTCTGCATGAGCAGTTCCCTGCATTGGTGCGGACTCTGGAGGTGCAGACTCTGCACTGAGCAATCAGATCAGATCAGAGGATACACATAAATCATTGTTATTCCCATTCACAACCTGAATAATGTTTTCTGGGTCTCTTCACTTTCAGCCATGACATTATATGTGGACTAACCTGCTTTTTCCTATGAGATGTGCCTCAGCAGGATTTTAAGTACAAGGATTGGTTCAAACCACTCACTTTTTGGCAGCAGAGGTAGAACCACAAGTACAAAAATGTTACTTAGCAAACCCCAACTGAAGAGATGAAGATAGAGAGAACAAATAGATAGCACTTAGTTGGCAAGGATTTGGACTGGTTTTGTCAGAAGATACCGTTTCACCCACAAAGGAGATGCTGTCTGCCATCGAAGACTTCATAAGGAAATATATCAGTGACGTTTGTGTGGGTTATAGCATTTAAATGGGCAGCTGTGGCTCTGAAAATCCTCCTTCAGCAGATAAGATCCAGAGGATCTAAACATTAAAGATTCTCCACTTCCCGATCTTAACACTTCTCTGACTTTCAACTGATATGCTCTGGGCCTGCAGATCTACAGATGCAGCACTTGCCATGCACATCTTACAACCTAGATACAAGAAAACACTGAGGAGACTGTGTCTGTATTTGTAGACATTGATAAGGTCCCCACTGACCTTCTTTTCCAGGCTGAACAGTCTCACTCAGCCTCACAGCAGAGGCACACTGGGCCCTTCAGCATCTCAGTGGCCACCTGTTGGACTCTGCATTATGCCCAGCTCTCCCTTATACTGAGGGGCCCAGAACTGGCCACAGAACTCCAGATGCAGCCTCACTATTCCCAAGTAATGCAGAAGGATTACCTCTCTTGACCTGCTGGTGATATTTTGCCTAATGCAGCCAAGAATACCATTAGCCTTCTTAGTGGCAAGAGCACATTGCTGACTCAGATTCAACTTGGTGTCCACTGGGACTCCTAGGTCCTTTTCTGAAGAGCTTCATCCAGCAGGGTGGCCCCTAGCATGTATATACTGTTGGTCTAATATGTGTGAATATATGCTTGGACTGGCAAACAGAGACCATTTCTGACTTATTTGCAATTATACGTTGCAATACCATAGCAGTTGAAGAGTGACATTGAAAAAAAAACAATCAATACCCATGTTAATAAATAATGGTTAAAACTTATACAGATCGGTTTTCCAAAGATGTCAAAGCACTTGGCAAGCATGAGGCTAATTCATGCTTTTTTTATATAGCCCTATTGACTTCAGTGGAAGTGTTTGTGCAGAAAGGAACATTCAGCTACTTCACACCAATGAAAGCAGAAAGGTGAGTGAATCTCGTATAGTTTCTTTTCAGAAAGGACCTGGCATTCCCAGTTTGGCTGGCTGCAATATGGTCAATTCATGTTTATCCTCTTTAAATTCTGTTAGACAAAGGCTCCTCCTCAGGTCTATGTTCCAGTGCTTTTGATATCCTGCTGGATTTGAGCCCTGTTTTTGCTAAGTCAGTAGAAATGAAGAGTAATTCAAAATCCCTATCTTTATATTTGCCAGTGTGCTGGAGTAATTGGAAGGAAGAACTATACTACCATAGAAAGAAGTCTCTGAAGGCAAGGTTAATGAAATTCCTCCAGTCACCCTCTACTAGTGTGAGGCATGGTCTCCTTTTCTCTCATCAACCTATGCAATACCCACACTCAGATATTATTTTGCTAATGTAGAATCAAAGTAGAAGGTCTTAGGGTCTGCAAGGCAAATGAAACAAGCAGGCTATGACTTATAAATGAGACATTTGTGAAAGTGAAAGAAAGACCACTTTTTCTTGATCCTGAAATAGTTATTCAGTCAATCCTCAAATCTGGGCCAGTCAAAATTGTTTTTCAATCAGGTTTCAGAGAAAATGATCAAGCACAGATTGTGAATATGAGTCAGCAATGTGCCCTTGCCACTAAGAAGGCTAATGGTATTCTTGGCTTCATTAGGCAACATATCACCAGCAGGTCAAGAGAGGTGATCTTTCTGCTTAATTCAGCACTGGTGAGGCTGCACCTGGAGTGCTGTGTACAGTTCCAGATTCCTCAGTACAAGAGAAAGCTGGGCATATTGGAAAGAGTCCAGCAGAGAGTCACCATGATGGTTGAAAGACTGGAGTACCTCTTCTGCGAGGAGAGGCTGAGTCTGTTCAGCCTGAAAAAGAGGAGGCTGAGAGGATCTCATCAATGTCCATAAATACCTGAAAAAAGTGCAAAGAGAAGAGAGCAAGGCTTTTTTCAGTGATGCCCAGTGGCAGGATGAGAGGCAGTGGGCACAAACTGGAATACAGGAGGTTCCATCTGAACAACAGGAAGCAATTCTGTGCTATGCAGGTGATGCAGCACTGGCGCAGGATGCCCAGAGATGCTGCGGACTTTCATCCTTGATGTTCTTCTAAAGCCTCCACCTGGACTAGGCCTGGACACCTTGCTCTGGTTGTCCTTGTATAAGGAGGGGTTGGAGTAGAGGGACTCAGTGCTGTGATTCAAATGTATCAGCGTAGAAGACAGAAGAGAAAGGAACAGTACATGAGAAATCAGAGAAACGTTGATAAATTCTGTTTGGAAGGCACCTTTAACTGTCATCTAATCCAGCTCTCCACTCACAGCAGGACCAGCTGAATGACTTGCTCATGGCCTCTTCTAGGTTTTTACTAGATTTTTACTGTTTCTCAGAATGGCAGTTTCCCATCCTCTGGGCAACCTGCTTGGCCAGTGCTTGCATATCCTCATAGTAATTTCTTTTTCCCTGACATATGACCAGAGTTTCTCGCTCACCTACTTGTGTCTGTTGCTTTTTGTTCCATTGCTGTACACCTCCAAGAAGAGTCTGGCTGTGTCTTCCAATACCCTCCTATACGATACTTGAAGACACTGGTAAAATCCACTCAGCCTTCTCACTTTAAGGCTGTACAAGCCTAGCATCCCCAGTCCATCTCTGTATATTACGTGCTCCAGACCCGTACCTATCCTATCTGCTAAACCCTCTCTCAGAATTTTTGATCAGGAACAGGTCAGTACAACTGGGAGGTACTGTGATCCATGGTAGAATTCCTGCCCTTCTACAGTGGGCACAGAGGTTGCTGGGGTAGCGTCAGGGCTATCCAGGCTCCACAACCTTCTTAAAGCTGCAGGTTCCCAAAATGCAGCAGTCTGAATCAAAAGTGCTCGTGAATGTTGCTGCCAAGGTAGTTCTACATCTCTGCTCACTGCAGCTACAGGAACATTGCTGGCATGACATTCTCTCCTGGAGCACCTGCTCCGTTCACCACGTGTGCAAACATAAGCCAGGACAGATGCTTTGGGAAAGAGCTGAAAGCCCAAGGTTCACAGGGCTGACACCCTTTTATCAGAAAAGAGGCCACCCAAGTTCTTGAATAAGGAGAGAGGCAGTAAAAAAATCTTTGGAAGGGAAGAAACTTCCTTAAAGTGTTTAAGAAAAGCCTTTCCAGAGACAATATTAAAAATACATGGGTGGGGTGAGGGAGAAAGAATTGTTATTTATGTATAAAGTTACACGGGGAGACAATGTCCAAAATCACTGAAAAAAAGAGTCTGTGTGTCTCTGTTTTCCTGAGTTATGATAGCATGTGTTTAGTATTACAGCTAATCCCTTTGAGGAGCCAAAGTTAACATCTTCCAAAGTATAAAGCTTTTTTTTTTTTTTAAAGGCTGAGTTAAATTCTAATGCTTCAAACCTATTCAAAAAACAACAACAAAATCTCTGGAAACGCTTTATTTAGCTTTCTGTAGTCGAAACAATTATGCAATTGGATAAGCAATGAAGCTAGTTCACGTTGGTGAAATTTTGTGTGGCTGAGCAGAACAAATTATACTTTCTGTGAACTTGGAGAAAATATCCATATTTTAAAAACAAACAAACAAACAAAAAAGTACCTTCATTTTCCATGGAGAAAGGACAGCCACACAGACTCAGTCTAACAGGGTCTTGCTGCAGCTTAAGGAGAGAAGCATGAAGATTTCATAGGATGAAATATCGTGCACATCCCACAGTGCGGAGCTGTCATGGGACAGTTGGGTACAATGAAAGGTGGCAAAAGAGGGCATCTCTGCAGGCACTGCACAGCTCTCGCATGCCAACATCTGATGTTCCAGTCAATGAAACTCTTTTCTGTGGTTTTTATGTGCTCAGCAGGCTCTGGAGTTTACATGTTGTAAGAGGGATGTAGGAGCAGCTCATGACTCCCCATCCTTTTACTCCATAAATGTGTCTCCTGAGTGGCCTAAGTCATTCGTCTTAAACTCAAACATCCTTTGAGTTGTGGAATAACTAGTTTCATTTTTTCATCTCCCTCTGGATGGCCCTTCTACTAAAAGCTGGTGGATGTGCTGGTGCCCTTGCCATGGTGACCAGCTGTCAGAGGCAGTATGTGGAGCACACAGCAGTGCCTAGGCAGGACAAGCCCAGTCTCCTTGATTGGTTCTACAAGACCCAGGTCTTCTGCTGTGGTCCTCAGTTTATGACTGAAAGGGAGTGGGGTTCCTTTTTGAATAGGAATTGCTGAAGAAAATATTTTGCTTCTATTTGTTGTTGTCACAGAGATTTTCTTTAATGATTTTCTTGTCTTAAAGGACTTAAAGGGAATGGCTGGGACTCGGGACACTTCATAATGCCTCGAGAGACATCAAATTCATGATTGCTTTCAAGGGTCAGCTCTGGCAGGGCAAGGAAAACACAATGCTGCTGGAATTTCTGCACCTCATCCCACTGTTGTCCAAGGACAGTTAATTCCATACAGTTTAAAGCAGGGAAATTGAATAAGAAAGCAGAAAGGTCCCTTAGTTAAAACCTCAGGGATTCGGTGTGGATCCAGTGGCACTCAGTGTCAGCCAAAGTTCTCAGTCACCCAAACTCCATTCCCTGCAATTTGTTCCATCTCACTAAAATACTGCACAACAAATCACCTTCTCAAATACTGTAGGGAGATAAGGTGTAATTCCACAACAAAGCACTGGCAAATAAAATGCTAGTGAGGTCTCCTTAACTGCAGAGCAATGCTGGTAGTGAGAAGATGAATTCTGGTTGCTTTCTTTACAAGCAGAGAGATTCTTTTTTGTTGTTGTTAATTTAGCAGAAGGAACAAAACACCAAACTGTTGATTCGGTTGATCTTGGCACTTACCAGGCTGACAAACATTTAGCAGCTGATAGCTAATTTGTACAGCTGCTTTCATCTGACCGATCCAGTAACTTTTTAAAGCTGTAGGAGGAGAACACAACCAGATTCAGTATCTGTAAAACTCTCAGAGAATCCACTTCAGAACCAAGCCAGATCAAACATGGGCACATCCTTTCTCTGCACATAAGGCCAGGAGAGCATAAACCACAGGAAAAAACATGAATTTTCCTTGTTTTCAAAACTGGATGGTTCAGCAAATCTTAATGAGTCAAAACAAAGACTGTGGAGAAAATGTTTTACTACAGATCACCAATATAATCACAAAGAATTATTCTGAGAGAGAAGAGTCACCTCACTGTGGTATTTGTTCATTTTTCCAAGCTTGGCTCCTAGGATTTACCTGCTCACATCTTTACATTTAGATCTCTACATCACACTCTACCTGAAACTCAGAAATAAAATACTTTGCCATAGCTGAGCATCCATCTGCTCAGTAGGGATGTGTGTTTGTGCAGCGTCTTGTGCAATGTTACAGACTTGTTCTCCTTTCTGATTATGATATTCTTTAGATAGACATAGATAGCCAGAGAGCCATTTCCTGGTGTTACGTATTTACAACTTACAGTGGGGCGTTGGATACAGTAATATGCAGTTGCTTTAGGACATTAAAAGCAGCAATTTCAAAATCTCTGTTTCTCAAGTCAGTTACTAATCTTTCCTCTTATGCAGGCAGATCCATCTTTAGATGGAAAAACCCTATAGGGAATTAGGTAGGTTAAATACACGCAAAGATGTAATCTGCAGCAATCTTCCTGAGAGGCTGAGTGGTAGATGGGAACAAGAACCTCCTAGCCAGTTTGTGGTCTAATCATTTTAATCCCTGACGGAAGGGTTTCAGAGCACCCACCAGCAGAGATGCTGTAGGAAAACCAGGCCATCCAAAATCATGATGAGAGACTGGTGAGTGCTCTGCCCAGTCTGCTGCAGATGTGACTTGCTCACAGGAGTCTATCACACAGCCTGGAAGCAAAGCAAATGAATAATGACCCTCCCACACTCAGATGCGTAATTGACCATCGATTTATCCAGCTCCAGAGGCATGCTGTGCACATCCCACACACACAGCAGACCCACTCCTGGCAATCTTCCAGTTGA